TAGAAGGATATTTCATTTTATGTTATGCAGATCCTACAGTGAATCAAATGTATGATGTCCAATCTCTTACTTGAGGACCTCTAGTTTCAGCCGATAGGTTTTTATTCTTTTCTAATTTCTTCCTGTTTTCCGAGTTCTTGGGCTCTCTTTCACCATCTACTTGGTCTCGTCTATCATCCCCTTTCTTCATGCCCTTCCCTTTCGCTAGTCGCTTGACACATTCGCGCGGAAAAAAAATGCAGCCAGGCTCTCCTGAGTGCCGCCGTATATATATAGGAAGGGAGCGGATGTCTGGTGTGTAAGGAACCGCTAAAATGGTGTTCGCTCTTATCCGAAGATCTAGAGCGGCGATGCGAAGAGAGGCACGCGGAGGGCTATACGTAAGGTAAAAGGGGGCTCATGACTGGCTGGTCGGTCGGTCGGTTGGTTGGTTGGTTGGTTGGTTGGTTGTTTGCTTGTTTGCTTGCTTGCTTGGTTGCTGCTGTGGTTGTCTGGTTGGGCTGGTTAGTGCCGTTACTAGAAAGAGGCCACCTAAGTTCGCAACAAGTGCTGAGTTATGTCTCGAACTTTCTTTATAATGAGACACCGGTCGACGAAATGACAAACGTAATTAAAGCGAGCAGCCACCGGAGGTCAGAGATTCCTGAGATTTTCACAATGAGAAACGCGCGCCCATACTGTCCTCTCCTTTCTTTCTCTTTCTTTCTTGTTCTCTCGTCATCACCTGCTCGTTTCACTATACCGCAACGTTTTCATTTATGCTGCTGAGATGTTATTATATATTTCAAAATGTTTTGTGATCGTCGTAGAAAGTTGATATTACTGATTAACGTCGCGCGCGACGTTCTAAGTTAATATCGTGGATTCCATTAAACGTATTTCATGTACTATTACCTCATTCGACATAAATATATTTTGATACTTGTCTGAATTGAATTAACATGTAGAATTATCTCAAACATCACAGAATATTTATGATAATTATGATATTTAATATTCATTTTTTGAAATGTTACATAGACATTTCATACATAATTTATATAAAGCTTTTATATAAAGCTTTATTCGAAATATATTATTAAAATATAGGCTAAATGTTTTATGTAATATTTATGATAAATATAAATAAATATTTCTAATAAACATTTTTTAATTGAATTATAATGTCTCATTATTTTCTTAGCATTTACTATAACATTTACAAAATATTTAAAATAAATCTTATAAATATTTTGTAAATATTTTATAAATATTGTGTGCTGTTTGAGGTAGAGCTTCTACTTGAAAAAAATTGATAGAAAAAAATTGATCGAGGCGAAATATATATATGAAAAATATAAATAGATAGAATATAAAATACAGGGAGGGGGGGGGAGGAGGAGGGGAGCGTAAGTACGAAAGATTCGGAACTGACTTGAACTGGCACTCGTTCCGAACAATCGCGAATGCAACCTTGCCCCGTTTTACGCCTCCCCGTGACACAACAATGGAAACGCAATGGTACAACACATTTCACTTTTTCGCAACGTATATACCAGGGGGGCCTAAAAGTATTGCGCGATTTCCTTACCGCGAGAGAATTCACCTCGTACACACAATGTAGATTGGAATTGGCCGTGTACCGTAAAAGCCTAATTAACATCTTTCGAAACCAAGACGCGCGCGTCTCGCCGTCTCGATTCGACTTCTATTCATGAGCGGCAGGTGGCTTAAAACGCGTAAACATCGAAATTACAAACCGATCGAGGCTTTTTTCTCTGTATTTTCCTCATCGTCTCGGGCCCGATTCATGTTTCTATCAACGTAGTTTAATTTTAATCTTAAGTTGGACCAAGATTAAAGTTAATATTGGTAGAAACAGGCATTTGATAGAGACAGCATCAGTTAGTCTCTATTGCAAAGAAACAACAACATAGGCCCGTTTCTACCAATATGATTTAATTTTAATCTCGATTCAATAAATTCTTCATCCTTTTCTAGTTCTAAAAATAAAAAAAAATGAAGAGTAAGTTGAACCAAGATTAAAGTTAATCTATACATTGGTAGAAACGGGCAATAATCAAAGACAACGTTAACCAGCCGAGTTTCCCAATATATTTGAGATTATCGCAGCTCAAGTGCGTCTTATTCTTATTCTTATTTTTCTCTTTATTGTCCAATGATCGTGGCGCGCATTCCGCAATGTATCGACCGACGGGACTGGCAGATAAGATAGGTACTCGAATATCGGAAGTCATGTCTCGCTATCGTTCGTGCGAGGAGAAACGCGCGAAATGCCGAAGTTCTTATTTATCGTCCGTGCGTGCGGATCGTCGCGTCGTTCGCGAATACTTCCCCGCAATTCCTCGGGTGTGGATCTTCCGCGCTCATCGCAAGGAAGACAGAGAGGAAAGAAACTGTGATTTCACATTCCAGTCGCGATCCTGCTCGCAGAATCCGAACGAAACGACACTCCTCCACGTGCAACCACCGGCACCGAGCACCCACGCCCGCTGCGGGAGCCCGCATATAAAACTGCTCCCGAGTTCGGCGGGGTTAGAGATCACGTTAGCCGTGCGATAAGGATCTCGCGTGAATGATTGCCGATGATATTTCACTTAGGGATCGTCAGGGACCGACCGATCGAACCGCCATCGCGAGCACGCATCGTCCCGGGAATATACTGGGAATTCCTGTGGAAAAACTTTCGGCGACATTTCTTCTCTCGCGAATTGAAATTGTATCTGATACAGTTGAGATAACGTTATCCTGCAGATTGTTTCGTACGTTCAAGGCGCAAGAATTATCCAAGGTTGTTTGATATTAGCAAATCTAAAAGATAAAATAGGAGAATAAATAAAAGTACGTTACAATTGTGCAAGCTATTGAGAGAATTAATGACTTAAGACTTTTAAGAGATTATAATGCGATAATTCAATTTCTAGTATTTTTTAAATAAAGTGTTACATAGAAATATTTCGACCCTTTATACTAATTTTATGAATAAATTATCTGTTATTTACGAAGGTAATTATTTAATTTAAAAAACTGGAGAAATTACATGTATCGATTTACATATATCGGTTTTTCCTTTATAGAAATCTAATAATACTAAAAAACGATAATTAATAACTTATTTGGAATACTAAAAGTACTGAACAATAATGCTTTAAATTTAATATTTACAATAAATATAAGTAATTAAAATAAGTAATTAATTACTGTCTTTTAGATATATTAAATTGGCCATCAATATTAAATTTCTACAACTATTCTGTGGTATAATTTTAAATTAATAAATTTAAATAATTCCAACATTAATGGTCAATAATTTTATCGTATCAATGTCTTGTCTCTCGATCTTTTTTTTAGATCAGATACTTTTGACGATATATGTTTGAAATTGAACAGATAATCGATGCAATGGGAATTACGCAAATTGTTCATCGAAATAGCGTACGCCATCCCGAGCTAAATTTCAAGACTACTCCAAGCGTCTACGCACATTTCAGTGGCGCCACCTGTCGCAAATTAATCAAATTAAAATCATGACTACGAACATATTCGAAGCGCCATTACGAATTCAGCGCGCGATCGCGCGCTTTAATAATACAAAGATAATTTTATACTACAAATAAAATTCGAGAGGCTCCTTCAATTTGCTACGTTAATCTACAATTCCTAATCGCGTAGCCGCGATCATTCGATAATTCTGAACCAATCGCCGCCACTTAATGAACTAAACGCGACGCAATCCGATAAATGATACGTGCAAGGCTATTAAAACTCACCATCGTTGCTGATAGCCGTCGTGCGTTTTTCCTGCCGTCATGTCGGAGATGGCGTTTACCTTTACAAACGATGACGAGAATACTGCGTAACGGGATGTTAGTTTGGAACATTCTGGCGATTTCATTTTCGAAACGAGTGTAAAGCGCGGATCGCGATTGCGATCGTTCGACTGACTGACTGACGGACGGACGGACGGACGAATAGACGTGCGCGTTACTAAAAGGCGCAGCGATATCTCGATTGTCGCGTTGTCGCGCGGCTGCATTCAAGACGTACACGGAAAAAAATGTTTCGTCGTTAAATTACGTGGAATTCTGGTGAAAAATGAACTGTATCCAGAATTCTGATTGAGTCTAAGTATTAGATTTCTATTAAATGTTGATTATTTCAACTAGAATTTTAATAGATTTAACCAGAAATTTTGTAGATTTATACATAAGTAATAATTCAGTTAAAAACTTTTTTGTGTACTCTTTGAAAGAAACTTGTTTTCCGCGAAAATATACTTATAATCATGGTAGATATAAATATACTTATAACTATATTCTTTTATTACCGATATTCATAATCGGTTTGTATATTTAATGCCTAAGTCTATAACTTACGATTAACTTTTGACCAAGATTCAATTTATTCTTCATCTCTCTCTCTCTCTCTCTCTCTCTCTCTCTCTCTCTCTCTTTCTCCAAAATTCAAGAATATTAAATAAAAATAGATAATAATAATAATATAATCTTATTAATAATATTCAAGAATATTAAAAATATTAGCAATATTAAAAATTCTTTTAAAAAATACCTTTCGAGAATAATATTCCCAAATACAAAAAAATGACAATTAAACAATGACCCAACGTAATCGCGTCGATTCTTAATTCCATCGACATATAATTGTCATAAGCAAATGTGCTATCGAAGCGACTTCCTTATTGCATACTCTCGATCGTTAATAAAATTCCTTGTCTATCTCTATATGCGCTTTTAGCATCGAGGAGAAGGCGAAGGTTTCCCTCTCGGCTCAGCGCGACCGAGCGACACGCGTTTCTCGAGGCACGTTAAAATCGCGGCTTCTGTGTGCGTAATGCGGTGGATGCGCGCCTACGGTCGTCGGTTTGTCCGACTCTCTTGACTCGATTTCGCGACCGCAACTCTCCCTGGGAAGATATATCTCTCCCTGTGTGTCCCGGCGAACGCCTCTCTTTCTAGCTTTCTTTCTCTCACTCTCCTTACCGCGTCGAGTTGGTCCTTCTCGTCCTTTTCCTGAGCCGGTGCTCTTCTTGGATTCTCCGTCTTTCTCCGATGGGACCAGGGGGGATGGCTGGAGCGGACCCCGTCGCGGAGACAACATAAAGATTTAAGACTGAGAGATGCGCCAATAAACATGCTGCGCCCCTGCCGCAGTCAGCTCGCGCTTCTCCGCTGTGTGTTCCGTTTCTCTTTCGATTCCGCTCCATTCTGTTCTGTTCTGTTCTGTTCTGTTCTGTTCTGTTCCGCACGCCGTTCTGTTCGCAGCCATCGCATATATGCCTGCTGTATATGCGTATGCGCGTATACAGGGTGTCCTTAGCAGTTTCAACGTTTTTTTGTCTTTGAATTTTGGGAATTTTTTCTGACTAAAATCATCCTCAAATTTCAGTCAAAGTCCTTCAATTAAGTCAAAGAAAATCAATCGACGTGAGAATAAGCAGAAACCGAGATTTTATGCTACCTAACTATATTCTATTTTAGGAAAAAGTTCATTAAGGGCTGAAACATACAGTCTTGCATAACTCATAATGCATAAGAAAATGAATCAATCAGAATCCTTTATTTTATGAAAAGGAAGGAAATAAAGATTCTGATTGAAATTGATTTTATTTTATGCTTTATACATTTTGCATTACGCAAAAGGTCTGTGCTCCAATCTTTACCCACATAATGCAGGAATTTGTAACAACATTGCTGCAACATTCAATAGCAGAAAAATAGCTTTATAACTGTTGCAAAATTCTTTATATCAGTCTAGTTCCTCACTAAATGTAAATGTTAAATAAATCAATCATTAAAGAATCTTACAACAATTGCAAAGCTATTTTTTTTCTGAATACAGCCAATGTTGTAATTTTGCTGGAACGATTTATGGGAACTTAATCTGTGGTATCGACATAAATTCGTTCACTATTCAATTAGAAATCATTTTGTTATTCACGCATCTGTCGAGCCATTCCATTCTCGACAAACACACCTCTAAAATCTATCCTATGATTCAAAAGAGGTGACTCTTCGGATAACGAGACGCAAGTACACCTGCCAGCCCCTACACACGGCGGAAATAAAAGCTTTCCAATACGAAAGGACGGTCGTATACCGCGAAAGTAGTAGATCGGGACGTTGGTCGAGCAAAGCGACAAGGGACTTGAGAGCCGGGGGCCCGGTGCTGCCGATTCTCCTCTGCCTCTTCTCTCCTTCTTTCCTTCGCATTCGCTCCCCGACTTATTTATTCCTTTCTTCGTCGCTGGCTCCCTTTCTTCCTCGACTTCTTCTTTATTTCTGTCCTTTTGCCCGTTTTCTGCTTCCGCAAACGACAGCCGCTTATTTATATCCTGTCTTTGCATCGCACGGGGCCGAGCGAGGGTGCTTTTGCGTTTACTCGCTACTGCCGAGTTGCTGTTGCTGCTGCCGCCGATCCTCTCGTTCTATCCCTTTCTTTTTTGTTCTCTCTTCGTCTTTTAACCCGCCATGCCATACGTAACTTATGTTACGTCACGTCGTCTCGTTAATCATATATCCTACGAACACCTCAATAGCTTCATTAATTACTACTTGTTTATTCCTTACGCCGCGAGGCCTTGTCCACGCTAATTTACTATAGCTTCACGAAGTTCTACTGATAATTTGTTTTCGATATTTTCTCAGCTCACTCATTGTCTTTTTTTCTGTCATTACTCATACATCAGTAAAATCTCTTCTTCGAATTAGAAGGGTAAATCGTATAACAAAAATAAATGATTTTCTCCCGTCTCCATTTCTAGTCATTCTATTGATATTCTTTTAATTCCTACATATCTCATTTCCATTTTTCTCGCACTTTGTTCGCGATGCGGTCGTATTAATCCTTAGTACATACAATGATTTCCGGTCCTTTACTGCATACGATGGTGTCCCAGGTTAATTTTCATCACTTTAACAAATATACAAAAATTATTTTTACATAGCTTTTATATAGCTTAACATCTTCAGAAGATATTTATAAGGTTGTGTATTTAAAAAAAAATGTATATAAATATTGTAACTACCGTATACAACATAGAATTCTAAAGAACGTACTAAGGACATTTCCAGGATGTCTCATCGAATAAAATGTGCTGTATGGATAATTACTTGATGCTCCTAGTTTTTCAAAGAAAGAAATGTGCAGGACACGAATGATCCAATCCTATGTACTAAGAATTAACTCCGGACTCAACGTTGAATAAAAAGAATAGCGAACCTCGAGTTCTTGTACGTTTAATAGAAAAAAAAATTTTTGTATTAGTAGTAGCCTTCTTCTGTGAGATTCCGATTTTGAGATTTTGAAACGCGATTCTCTACGGATGAGTCTCGTTGTCTGGCTCGAAACACATCGTCACTCTTAAACATCTCTCCTCCGGGATCGGATGAGAGCGATATCAGGGAGACGCGGGGTTACGCACACACCGTTCGCGACAAAAGCGATCGGACCAGGAGGAGAGCCGAGCAAATAAACGATGAAAAGAAAAACAAAACCGACATTATGTGGCATTAACATACAAAGTATGTCAGACCCGCGATCCGTAGGCATAACATAGTATCGCAGGGTTCGCATACCCGGCTTCTCAACGCAATGGTTGTGAGAATGAAGGAAAGAAAGAGACAAAGGGAGAGAGAGAGCGAATATACACGCGTTCACGTATGCGTGTGTATCCAAGAGAGAGAGAGAGAGAGAGAGAGAGAGAGAAACGGAAGGAAGGAAGGAGCCACCGTTGAGTGCTGAATGAGGGACGAAGAGGGTAGAATGATGAACGCAGTGTATGGGTGAAGGGCTCGCGCGACGAGGACGAAAGAAAGAGCGGAAAAGGCAGTGGATCTCGCTAAATAGGCACGCACGAGACGCGCCCTTCAATGTCTCCTTGCCCTCGTACTTGATACATTTTATACGCGACATCGTTGCAATTATCTTACTATTGCCCAAGTAGAACACAGAAATTATAATAATATCATAAAGACATCATCATGACCTTATTTGTCATATCTAAGTTAAAATAATGTCATAATGACGTTCTATAATATAATGATGACTTTGTGTTCTACTTGGATCTTCTAGTTTATCTTTAAAGTATTCATTGTCATAAAAGAAATAGTAGTTCGTCAAATATTTCGACGTTAACATCAATTTGATTGCTGGCGTTGCTTTCGAAATTTGAAAGGGTTTTTTCTTTTTCGCATTTCATATTTTTTTCGCAGAATCGAATTCAACACTGGTAGGAGAGAGAAGAGAGACAGAGAGCGTTATCCTTGGTCCTCCGTAAGTTCCCTTTGCTTCGTCGTCGTCCCAGCGGTGTGTGTGCCACGCGGTGGCGGCTTAACGCAAAAGAGAGCTCCCAGGAGAACGAGGAATGGGACGAGAAGAGTGGAATAGCAGAACGGGCGGGTAAGGGAAAGATCCGAGAAGGCAGCAGCACAAGGCGGTAGTGGCAAAGAAGAAAAAAATGAGCGCATATATCGGAGCCGACCGTCGACGACGACGACGACGACGACAATATGCTGAGAACACGCAACACATACACGCATATATACACAAAAGGAAGGATCTCCTCTAGTGTCACCACCATTTGGCGGACTCCCGATCGGCTACCGCTAGCGAAGGGCTGTAAGTCGCTCGAGGACGATAAAACTATCGCATGGTCTGTGCGTAGAAAAAAAATAAATATTGAATAAGGCAAATGGTACAACTTATAAAAAATTTAAAATTTTTTTGTAACTTGAGGATAAAATATTGTCAATTTTGGAAAATAATATCTTCAATGATCACTTTGCCTTTCCAAGAAATTGTAACATTTATTTCTCAAATTGTTTACAATGATTAACTATTGAGAAAGTTAAAAAATTAAAAAAAAAGAGCGCATCTATGTACGTCATGCTATAAAAATTTATACAAAAACTTGCAAGAGTTAATTAATAAAAATAAGACGCATAACGCAGTGCAATACTATAAAAGCTTATAATAATAATATATGTACAATAAAATGTTCAAAATGCTCATGATCACAAAAATTAAGTATAAGTTATTCGTGTGTAAAACATATTAATAAAGAACATGAGACACATTACCTTGTGCAGAAATAATATTTAGTGGTACTACTAACGTTAAGATTTAACATTAGATTTATTAATGCGCAGTAAGTACCCTTTCGATGATAAAATGCCGCGGCATTTGAGATGGATTTGATATCTTATCAACCAGTATAAATAGGCAGTAGAACCAAATATATTCTCTAATACTTCTTGAGGAAGAATTTCTAAAAGAAGAAATATCGAAAAATAAAATACACCTTATGCTTAATAATCGATTGTGTTTTAACCCTTTGCAATATAAAATTTTCACCTTTTGAGCAATCTGGATCTCTGAACTTTAGTACAAATTTTTATATTGTTCCGGATATATAAGAATCTAAAAAAATTCTTATACTCTTGTGAAAGCTTTAATGAATTTTCATTATCATAGAAACTGGGTTGTATTTTACTTTATACAGATTTAAATTCATCTAACAGAATTAACAATAAAAATCGACAGTGCCTTCAAAATTCAATATTGTCAGCGAAGGGTTAATCAAAATCTGGTGTCCAGCAAAATCTAGCTAGTCAATTGAAGGATAATTCCAGAACATTTTAGGTAAATTCTTTTTCCAGGATTTGTCCCATCGATTAATTTTCATTATTTAATTAATTTTTATTGATTTGCACAATATTATATGCTTTGATAAAACTAAATATATAATGCTCACTTATAACAAAACGATATAGATGTGACACAAGGATGTATAATATGAGCAATAGTTAAATTACAGTTGCTAAAATATAATATTCTAAATAACATAAAATAAAGTAAAACATACGTTTCGACCAGAAGATTCGATCATTATCAATGTTGTCAAATATAAATAAATATAAGATTACATCTAATTAATTAACTCAAATTACAATTTACTATCATTTTTTGTAACTTTGTAAATTAATTAGATTTAATTATAGTCGTTTAATATAACTTGCGTATATAACCATTAGAATGTAATCTTATATTTATTCATATTTAACAACACTGATAATGACCGAATCTTCTAGTCGAAACGTATATATTTTACTTTATTTTATGTTATTTATATTATATTTTGGCAACTGTAATCTAGCTATTGCTCATATACCATTGTGTTACATCTATATTATATGCTTTGTTATTTAAGTTAGGATTCTATGAATTAAAATGTTAACAAATTTAGAACAATATTACTTATTGCTTTATAAATAATATTAAATGAACATTCCAGCAACACAAATAATTTTTTTTTTATTTTAAACGTTAAATTCAAGTTTCTCACTTTTTATTGATAATCTATTGCATCTTTAAGGGAGGACTTATATCCAAATACAATTTTTCTTCTTATTAATTTTTTCTTTTTCACGCTGATTTTTTTTAGAATAAAAGAATGATAAATTCCAGGCAAGCCTTGAAATTTCAGGGGTTTCCAGGAATTTTTTAGAATACGGGAAATAAAATTCCGTTAAATAAAATTCAATTATAATTCTCAGATCCAAAGATATTCAAGGACCACTGGACACCATGTTAATATCACTAATTTATTTTAATTGTTTTAAGTGAAAAATACTTACGACAGGGATCACTATGAGTCAGCAACTGAATATCATTTTCTTTAGTAAATTCCTGTAAGGCTGGTGGTACCACACAACACGTAGCTAAATTAATCTGTACAATGTTTGGTTTTATCTGTAACAAGTAAACATCAAAAATATGGATGAGAATATATTAAAATGAATATGAATATCATTTTACGTAACTTATTCTTACATCTGCCCATTGAAACAGTTCAATGAAAGTGTTTGTATTAATATCGCTCAATCCAACACTGCATAACTTGTCAACTTTTACATATTCTTCTACCACAGACCATATTTTTTTTAATGATGACAATATATCTTCTGGACTCTCAGCACTTTTGTAAGCTATTACTAGTGATTCTATGGTATCTGTATGAAGTGTTTCAAATGCTATAAAATATAAAACACATTAGGAATATGTAGGATTGTTCTTTTCAGTTGAACTTCTTGCACTGTTCATCTCTTTCTTCCTTTTCTTTTTAACGTAAAAAGGAAAAAAGAGGAAAGATAAATTGTACAAAAAGTTCAGTAAAAACAAGCCTCCCCTGGTGAAAAATTTTTCTCATAATTGTTATACGAATTGGAACATTTATCAGAAATATTCAGAAATATTCGAAAAGTTTACATCTTCTCTTAGAATTTTTCATACAAGTGAATTCTGAAATATTCTGAAATTTCTCATCCCATAATTTTTAAAAAATATACTTTTAAATTTTTTAGATTTTATAACATTTCATCAGAAATTATTATACTTACAAAAAATCTTAAAAATCTTACGATATTTCATAAATAACATACATAAAAAATTCTGAGAAAAGATGTAAATTTTCTGAGAAATGTTACAATTCGTATAAAAAATGTGAGAAAGTTATAAAATTATAGAAAAATTCTGAGAAAAAATTTCTCCAGAGACATAAAAGAAATCTATTATAATAGCTAGGGGTACCTTGATCTAATGCTTCCTTCAATGAATTAACATCAGGTGATGAGATAAATACTTTTACAGTAATCTTTAAGTCTTTTCTATCCACGTCCTGTAAACTTGTATCCTTCTTTCCATTGATCTAGAATTGTAATTGACAGAAAATTGATCAGCTGTTCAGAAAGACACTTTTCAATCACTACTGAAAATCACATATACATACAATTGTCTTGTCATCCCCCTTGCTTTTTTCACCATTTAGAATTATTTTCAGTGTCTCGATCAACTAAAACGTATCAATGAGTGATGTTAGAGAAGAAATTTCGACAAGTGTGTGTATGTCACAACATAACCTCAAGAACAATAAATCGATCGATAAATCGCGACACAGTTAAGACGTATATTTTATGCAGAATTATGTAGAACGCAACGTTATGCAATAACTGTCAACTGACCTCATCCGTGGAATTTTGACTCGCCTTTTGTTTCGCCTCGCTTAGGGAGAGTATATTCCCAGTGTTGATGAACAAATTATGTGAGAGCATATCGAACGACCCCAACGGAATTCTCACAAGTCCGACCGTATCGGCGGTTATATACGCTTATGTACGCTTATGTACGCTTATATTGACGTTAAAGCAGTAAAATGATGTCATCGATCGTGACTTTTCAATTCATAGTAATTCGTAGGAAAAATGTGTAACGGCTGTCTGTGCGTGTGACGAATAGGAATTCGAATATTTCGCTAACGATCGCTGCGAAACGCAGCAAAACGTAATAAGAAACTTGATACTCTCAGATTTCTCCTCGATTATGTTTTTCTAGATTTTTCTTCAATGAATGTCATACAGTCGTCGAATTAAAGATAATCTCGAATTAAGAAAGAACGAGAATCTTAATTGAATCTTAATTGCGCGATCGTTGCTGTGGAACAGCCAGCTCTATGTTAATATCGATAAGATGGTCTTAATTAAGAGAATAAAAGTAATTATTATTGAATTGGAAGTTAAAAAAAATCGGTCATTCCGAAAGAGGATTTAATGCTCGTTTCTACAAAATATAGTCTAATTTCAGTTCAACTGTATAACTCTTCATCTTTTTCTAATTCTAAGAATTTAGAAAAAGATGAAGAGTAAGTTAAACTTTAATTAAAATTAATTTACATTGTTAAAAATAGGTATTAGAGAACAACTAGACCTCCTCGCATAGACGCTGGAGATATTTTGGATTTCTTTTTTTTTATTCTCGTTTGAATTTTAAAATATTCATATCGCAATTTTCCTCGGGAAATATTCGACTGACGATATATCAGAGGACGCTATTTGAAAAGTGTACGAATGTAAAGATTAAATAAATTATTCTATTTTTTTTTCTGTACTTCACAAATGTCTCCGCGGTTTTTTTTTATTTTAAAGTCGTATGCACCGAGCATATTTTTGTTGCTAAAGAATTGTAATTTTTCTAGGCTAATTATATTTGTATAATAACAAAAGGAACATTCTCAAAAGAATGAGGAATGAACAAACGTTATGCAATTGGTATAAATAAATCTAATTGCCTGTAATTGCGTCATCGCGTACATACACGTTATTCAAAATCTAACTTAATACTGGAACGCGATTGGCCGATGAACGACGGATGGTAGCACTGAAAAACAGACTGCAAAAATCATGCCTTATCACTGATTGCCCGCCGTCGTATCAAATATAAATTATCGCGTCGAGCTATAGCATGTGATTATATCGATGTTATTTATTGCAATTGAAACCTCTTTAAATTAATTGTCGAGAGGTGTGACGAAGAAGCAGGGAAAAACTTCTTTCGGTAGTTTGCCATCCCGTGTATAATTTTTGCGTAATTGCAACACAGCGCGAAAGATATATCGAGCTTATCATTCGGTAATTATATAAATAGACGTCACACCGTACACACAGTGGAGACTGCAAACGATTTTTCTTTTTACAACAATGCCGATCGACTACGCCGCATTTGCGTACGCTGTCGCGGTGGCTGGTGGCGGAGTGTTAGGTTACGTGAAATCGAGTGAGTAGTTTGATTAATTGTTATTGAGAAAATTTGTTTGCTTTCCTTTCAGGAGAACACACAAACGTCGTTCTATTTTTCTTGGTATTTCTCGCTAATAAATAACAAAGATAAAACGACACTTCTCAAGTAGAATGACAAGTCATGATAACGTCAAAATAATATTAAAATGAAACATAAATAATAGAAAAAAAATGACTTTTATGTCTGTTTCTAATGTAATTTAATTTTAATCTCATTTCAACTAACTCATTATTATTTTTTTAATTCTAAGAGTAAGTTGAACAGAAAGTAAAATTAATCTATATTGGTAGAAACTGATATTAGTGATCATTTTGAAAGTTGGAGTCATTTCTATTACAGTACAGAATATTTCAGCAAAATTGCAGCAATATGCAACATTCTAGTGATATAACATTCCAGTAATATAATATTGGAAATGTTGTAATCTTCTGTATAGGTTTGTGCTATATAGATTTAATTGTTATCATGATTTGTATTGTACTTGAGCTATATAGATTGTATAGTGTCAGCTCCGAAATGAAATAATCTATAAATTTGTTCTTTTTAGCTAAACTTCTTACACAGTTTCTTTTTTTCTCTTCATGTACAAGAAATTATTAAAAAGAACAAGTCTTATGATTCTTACTGATATCATTTGGAATGCTTTAAATGATAATTTTATCGAATTTTCTAGGTTCCATCCCCTCGTTGGCTGCGGGTCTTCTTTTTGGATCAGTTCTAGGATATGGTGCTTACCAGACTTCCCAGGATTCAACCAACGTTGCAGTTTTCTTAGGCACTAGCACGGCTCTTGGAGGTCTGATGGGATATCGATTTTACAACAGTGGAAAGATAATGCCAGCTGGAGTAATCGCTATACTAAGGTATTTAAATGCCATAATTGTATTTGAAACTATGCAAGTTACAAATTTATATTAACGTTAAGATAATTTTCAGTGCTGTTATGATCGTAAGGACAGTCACGAAATATTTCTCACCACCCTTGAAGACTGAATGAATGTTGCGTGTTTAAGATATTGCATTTATTAATTTTAGGTTTATGGTACGAGGGGGAGGAACAATGTAATCAAAGAATTTATAGAAATTAGTAATATATTTAATAAATATATATTATTTTCATTGGCAGATTTAAAACTGTATTGTTTTTTATACAACTGTCAAACAATTTAATAACTTTTACGGCATGATGCACGAATGCTTCTAGACATCTGACTTGTTATTCCGTCTTCACATAAGATCTGTTTCTTGTTGCTGCACTCTGAACCGGTGCAATAAATTAAAGTGAAATAAACGTATATTTGTTTCATTTCAACTTACTGCACTGTGTGTATTAGTTCAATAAATGCAGCAATAAAAAACAAATCTATGATTTCAAAGGTGTTCCGAAGTTCACTGTCAGTGTTGAAAATGTACAGTACACATGACGTAAACTGTAGATTTTCAGCACTGACAATGAATTTTGGAGCATTGTAACACGTCGCATCGAGCGTTGTTGCACTCGGTGCAAGTAAAACGGACATATCGTAGATTTATTTGCATTATTTGTATTTTTAAATTCGGAATCTTCGGTTTCTCTCACTATCTCATTTTGAGTACAAAAATTTAAAAAAATTTCAAACAACTTGAATAATTAACATCCTCGTGTTGGATGATCAGTCGAGAAGCGACGCGTGGCGGTGTAGAAAGTGCAATTGCGTAAAATGATGCGACCTACCTCACCTATCGCTCGAGCCTAACGTATGATAACGTCAGATAATCTCTAATGAAAATCAGAAAATATTGCCGTTCTATGTGAACATTGTTGTCATCGTTATATTCGTTGGGTGTCGCGTGGACAAACGTGAGGGGCGTCGAGTGGTGTTAGAAATTCAATTAAAGTTACTACCAATTAACGTGATCTCACCGGCAACTTCCGGAAGCGCCGCTCATTTTCAGAACGCGACGCAGAGTTGCCCTTTTACGTGGAGATAGATTCAATTATCATTATTAAATAATTGAATAACACGTCCTCGCTGTTTACGTCGTGCCAATCGTTCGAGGATTCTCTGAATTAACTTTCTCTCGTATCACCGGTAAGACAAGCTTTTGTTACATTTTTCTAGCGTAAAAAACAAACTTGTGATTTACTATTTTGATATCACTATGCAATACATTAATTTAACTAAAAAGCTTATGCAAATTTATGCGTTACGCCGCGGTCAATGGTGTCTGCAGGGGAGTATATGGTATACGATACAAGTTTGAGGTTAAGTTTTGAGCATGACTGGCTCATTCCGTTTCTCGGATCGATTTTTAGGGATATAATTTTAATTGCTTTAAAAACTGTTTTAAAAAATTGCTATAAGAAATTGCTTCAATGTTTGTTTTTTATATGTATGTTATATTTTGTGAATCTTTTAGTTTTTTTGTTCATTGGATTTATTTCGCCATGTGTTTCAAGTTACCAGGCTTAAATGAATTAATTAAACGAAGGTATCCTCTCATTTCATTTTTTTTCTTTTGCATTTCAGGAATATGAAATGGCAAGAATCGTAGCGTGTGTTATGTTAGTTTGCCTGAATGCATGTTGTATATTAAGTGCGGATGAAGACAGCGATGCAATACAGAAACCAACTTACAAAAGTCCGGAACCTTCCGGTTTCGCTCACCTAGCGGAGAACTTTGACAGTGAGGAGAGATTTAGAAATGTATGGATATTATCAGAGGCGAAGAAGGATGATATTGACGAAGATATCGCTAAATATGATGGTTAATATTAAATTTTTGTACATTCTTTTGTTATATCCTAGTAGCAGAATTATTGGTAGAATATTGCTCAAATATTAGCCCAGTATGTCTCTAATAGTTAATTACCAATATTTACCTTTTTGTTATTTGTTAGGAATTTGGTCCATTGAGGAACCTAAGAAACATGGCGAGGATGGAGACTTAGGATTAGTGCTTAAAAGCAAAGCTAGACATGCTGCCGTTTCTACTGCATTAACTAAGCCATTTTATTTTGAAGACAAGCCTTTAGTTGTACAATATGAAGTTAATTTCCAAGAGGGACAAGAATGTGGTGGTGCTTATCTTAAGTTGCTTACATTAGATGATAAATATGGAGACTTGAAACAGTTCCAAGATAAAACACCATATACCATAATGTTTGGGCCTGATAAATGTGGCAACGATCACAAGGTATGCAAGATGTGCGCTTTATTAATTTTCTCTTAGTTTAAATACTACTTAATATACAAAATATATTATGATTCATTTGATGTTTATTTTTTTTCTTCAGCTTCATTTTATATTTCGACATAAGAATCCATTGAATGGTACAATCACAGAGAAACATTGTAAAAAATCAAAAGACAAAATGGAAGATTACTTTAAAGATAAAAACCCGCATTTGTATACTCTGATCGTACGGCCTGATAATATGTACGAAATCAAAGTAGATAATAAACTTTTAAACTCTGGCTCATTACTAGACGATTTCACTCCTCCCGTGAATCCGCCTCTAGAAATAGAAGATCCTGATGATAAACAGCCTGAGGATTGGGACGATCGAGAAAAGATTCCTGATCCATTGGCAGAAAAGCCCGATGACTGGGACGAAGATGCTCCAGCACAGATAGTTGATGAGGAAGATATTATGCCAGAAGGATGGCTTGAAGACGAACCGCCGATGATACCAAATCCGAATTCGGTTAAGCCCGATGATTGGGATGTCGAGATGGATGGTGAATGGGAGCCTCCGGAAATACCAAATCCAAAATGCGCGGATGTTCCTGGTTGCGGACCATATAAGCAGAAAATGATGAAGAATCCACGATATAAAGGAAAATGGTTGGCGCCACTTGTTAACAATCCTAATTACAAGGGAAAATGGAAGCCTAAACTTATAGATAATCCTGATTACTTTAATGACAAACATCCGTTCAAGATGTTACCAATTGTATGTAATGAACAGAATATTTCTTAGTAAACTACATAAATTCTTGTATATTATATGCGAATGTGTTTTATAGAGTGCTGTTGGCTTTGAGCTGTGGTCAATGTCTACCGATATATATTTCGACAATATAATTATAACAGATGATGAAAAAGTTGCGAAGAAATGGGGAGTTGATACATTTGAGGTTCGACGTGTTAAAATTGCTGAGGAAAATGTAAGTACCCTTTCATCTGTGATTTAAAGATATTTTTTCTTATCTCTATATGTATATCTAAAGATACTTTTCTTATACATATATCTCTGATCTAAAAATATTTTTTCTTATACATCTCTTATCTCCTATAGTAAATTTTTGCTGTAAAATTATAACAAAAATACATAAAACATGTTATATGAAGATAATATTGTACAAATATATAAATATATAAATATATATATAAATATATAAGTATATAAGGCTACATTCCAAAACTTCCTCTCGAAGGAAAATTTTATTCGAAATATAGTATACATAACGTATACTATATAATATAAAATATAGCATATAAAATAAAATCTTCCTTGGAGAGAAAGTTTTGGAACGTAGTCTAAGTATACAAATATGGGTTTATTTGGAAATCAATCAACTTTCAAATTTGAAGCTGTACTTTTGAAAATAGACAATTAATTCTTTAGTATACAAATTATAATATGCAGGATTCTATGTGGGGTCGAATGATGAAGGAGATGAATTATAAGCCTGGATGGTGGGCATTGTATTTCTTGTATTGCGCGATACCAATTGTAGCTTACATCTGGTATCTGTGCAAACGAGCTTGTGAGGTATAATAGATATGAAAGATAAAGATTGAACGAAATATTGAAAGTATTTGCTTGGGAACAATATTGAAGTATATTATATGTACAAATGCGCTAATACATATATAATGTAAATACTCTTTGTACAATATTTATATTAGATATTTTACCAAGTTGGAATAGTAAAATTAATTTTAAAAGATAATCCTCACTGACTCCTTAATATTGAAAAAATCTACTTGTTATTATTCAAGGATTAATAAGAGCTTCATTTCAATGCTAGTATTTGTATACTTTACACATATGATAGATTTTGAAACATAATAGCATATGTATTACAAAATTATATTATGTATATTATTTAATTAAAGTATATTTAATTAGAACAAAAAGTAATAACAATAAGCCCAAAGATTAAATCTAGTGATGTGTAAATGTCAGTATAGGCCAACACAGGATATTGGTGTGTGATACGATCAAATCTTTATGATTCAAAAGTGGTAAGCGTTTCGATTCTTGCTTCGGGTCTTCTTCTATTGAATTAAAACAGATTTCTAATTCAATAGTTGATTAAGTGGTAATTCAGTGCTCTTCTGATGCTGCGATACATCGAATCTGCCAATTTGATATACATCTCTGAGTAATATTGGACACAGTCTTCGCAATGTGATCCTGCGGCTAACTATTGTTCTTTTATCACTATTTTATGTTCTGAAGAAGACCCGAAGGGATTCTGAATGAATGGAAGACCTCAAGGATCGAAATGCTTATCACTTTTGATTAATAAAGATTTGATCGTATCACACACCAATCCTGTGTTGGCCCATACTGGCATTTACACATCACTTTATTTAATTAGATTAAAAGTTAATTTAAAATGTAATTGTAATATATAAATTAGCATATAATTAAAAATTAGTATATGCTTATAAATAATAGTATAGTATTTTATATAATTATTTAACAGTGGAGTACATGGAATCGGATCGCGAAATTTACTGCGGACCATCCATGGATGTGGGCAGTATATCTAGTACTAACTGCAATACCAGTAGTCCTGATAATGTATTTTTGCTGCTTTTCCGAGGTATAACATTTGGTTAAGCTAAAATAATTCAAATATTCTTAAAGAAAATTGTTTATTTGTTTATTTGTATAAATACAAAAATTTAGATACCCTGAAGTAAATATGTGATGACATTAGTTGCTTTATAAGCAGAATACAAGTCATTATCTAGCATGTAATGCTATTTATTATTGTTGATATTGTTATATAAATGTAAGACTTAAGTGAGATCAAAATGTAACTTATACTGTTTTCAATATTTTAGGACAAAACAGATTTTAAAGACGAAGAAGATGACAAGTCACTTTTAGGGTTAGGCATCGACGAGACCATGGAAAATGAAAATTCTGAGCTTGAGCAAAAACCTGTTATAGAAGAAATAGGAGATATAGAGATAGAGACTGGAATAGAAGAAGTAATAGAAAGTGATAAGGTTGGTAATAGATCTTTAAATATTTTAAGAACTGTAATTCATTAAGTTTTTCGATATACACAATGCTTTTTTTTCTTATAAATGATAAATGATTCTCGATTATGTAAAGCACACATATGATTATTGCAGGATACTCCATCGATTAGTGGCGAAGGACCACGACGAAGAAAACCAAATAAAGAATAGGAAGAAGAATAATTATAAAAAAATTTAATAAGAGTATCGCGTTAAGATATTTATATAATACTATATCACATTCCACACATTACACTTGCCACTGTGGATAGTAGGTTACCAGTCACTAGTAAATTCAGTCACTGCAATGTGTGATGCGATATTTAATTACTCTTCTAAGAATATTGACATTTGATATCGTATATGAAATCTTATTAATATATTTGAGAAAACTGTTCTCGAATTATACATATGCTTTTGTGTACTGAGTGATGTATGATGTATCTGTATTCTTTGAAATTTACAAGTATTTTCTCTTAAAATGGACAATGCCTTAATGATAGTAAAGTATATATTTATGTTTTTAATTACAACATTTTTCAATGTTGTAGTATTAAAGGAGATAGCATAATTCATTCATATTTTAAATGTTATATATTTTAATGTTACACTAGGACAAATCAATAAGAGAGACAGTAAAAAAGTCGAAGAGAATGTAATATATGTGAATGCAAGAAATGTGTATAATTTATGTCCTGATGTAACTCATACTATATTTTTCAACTACTATGGCAGAATCCATTTCGATTATAAGGCAAACAAATTATACATTTATCCACAGAATGTGTAAAAGTCAACTTGTATTCCCGTAAGTTTTCTATATTTGCGTAATTTATGTATAATTTTTTTTCTAATTTAAAATATTGAAGTATAAATTGAGGTAGTTTTAAAATCATTAACATAAAACGTAATAGCATTTATCGACCGTACCATAGTAGTTGATAGTCAATGATTTGTTATTAATTATTTGGTGTAATATTCACGAACTTTAAAATGTTTATGAATTATTTAAGTTAGAAATAAGTCCGTATGTTATATATATTGTAATCAGGTACTACGTTGTTTGTATTGATCGATTATGCGAACGAAATAAAATTCAAAGAAATATAGAGAAAAGCTAAATATATAAAATTGGAATAATATAATTGATATATATGCTACGCTTCTTCATTTCGCTAAAAAAAAACGTGCATACAAATATAGAGAAGAATAAGTCGGCATTAAATAAAGCACGTTTAAGGACTAGTGGCAGATATGCCGAAACTTTGATAGCACGATTTGCATGTGGGTACGGCACGTTGTGACAGATGTCCAGGTAATTTAGTGTGCACTGTCATACATCTTGTGCATAGTACATCACCACAGGACCAACAATGATGCTGAAATAAAATAATCATTATAAAATAAACATAAAAAGATTGTTTTAACTTACAAGGTACACTCGTCAATTATACCTTTTTGTTAAAAGCATCAAATGTAGTAGAGCATCCACATTCTTCTATATTTCGCGATGATTTCCATTCTAAGGCAACTGTCTTTAATTCATTTTCCAATTGATTCGCTTTTAGTTTACCTCTCGTTTTTTCATCGTGATTTGCGGTGTTTTCTATTATACTCTCTGACAAAGACTCCTTCGTGAATTTAGTGTCAAATTTATGCTTTCCCTTCTTTTGAGCGTTACTTGTATTTAAAAGTTGCCCTAAAGAATTTACTCGCTGTTGAAGAAAATTAAAATGCAGATATAAATGATGAACATTAATTTTTCGTTAAAATTTAATATCTATTTGTTAAAATATAATATCTATCTGTTTGACTAAACTGATATATACTTTTAATAGAAGCTTTACATGATCTTCTAAGGAACTTGTGTGATCGTAGATCGTTAAAATTAAATCTTCACACGTTTCTCTAGGATGTATTCCATTTTCAAATCTAAAGTATAAGCCTCTCCAAAGACTGAAAATAAAATAACACGGTTTACATTCAAGCTGGTTAACAATATTGAATATAAATCGTTGCACAAAAGTTACATATTTATTACACGATAGATTGAGGTGCCAATTTAGGTTGAAGAATATCAACAGAGTCCTCGTTATTATAACGATTGCATCTGTAGATTGGGTTTATATATTCATTCATATTATTCGCTAAGTAGCCCCACAACGAATATGTTCGTTCAGATAATCTAAAATAATATTCACCATAATTTTTTTTTCATTTATATTTATCATGAAGAAAAAGATCAATATATAGATAATACCTTAATATTTGCCTTTCTTTCTCCGAATTTCCGATGAATGTACCGTGTTGACAGCTATGTACATGATCATGTAACGTTAAAAGAAAATATTCATTGAATTGAAATTTATATGGATATTGCTGTAGCAGTTGGTATGTCGCATCTATAAATTGTGTAAATATTGGTGCAAGTTCTTTACCATCGCTACTGACATAGCCACAACGATCACTAAATTTATGACCAAACGATAGCCAATCCTTTTCTATTAAAGCCTATAAAAAGTTGTTTTTTAATCATATGAGTGAAATGGAGTATATAATCGAATAATAATTATAAATGCAGAAATTTGAACAAATTGGTATTAAACTTACTTGAAAACCTTGGATGGTTCTATAAAATGGATCTAATAGTAATGCAGCCAGAGAGCACACTTGCGCAGTGCGATCCCATCCATCGCTACAATGCACTACTACGCTCACGCCATTCGAAACTGCCCGTGCAATGAACCAAGCGGTTTCCAGAATAGAGCGAATATGCTTTAACCAACCGCTACTTTCTAGGCCACTTAAGAATGCGCTCATGGAGGTTGATCTTTGTACTAAAAGTTCAAATATAGATAGAAATTTAACAATCATAATGTGGAGAAATTGTTTTATACACAAACTCTGTAAAAATGTTATACTTACAGTCCAAAAGCTTATTTAAACTCGTTCTCATTACGTGAATGTTCTCTATCCCGAAGAAATGAAATTTGATATTGTCATAGAAATTTTCATTCTCATATCCTTTCCCTGCAGCTCTGTTAGCAAAGGCATTAATCTAATTGAACAGAATTAAGTTTTGTTTTTAATATCCTTAAAAATAACTACAAAATCATTTATTTTACATATTTATAACATTTGTCATCACTGAAATAAATAAACATCAATTTGTTTTTAAAATCGATTAAATAAAATATTATCTTTAAAAAAAAAAACTTAAAATATTTATAACGGTATTTTCTGTTTCCAATTCTAAAGAATGACATATTAAAGAAAATATAAGGTAAAAGAAACAAAATTAGATCTGATTTTCAATTGAAAAAGGAATTATATATTCCAATTATATACTTACCCGTGGTCTTGTATCGACAACATACATATACCGTGAATTAGGATTTGTACATAATATATTATGCATCATTTCTTCATCTTCAGGACATCGTGCACTAAATCCTGAAAGTGGTTGACTGCAGCGGCAAATGGCAGCCTAAAAGTTATTTTATTTGAAAAACTTTTATTTATCAAATGTTTAGTTTATCATTTTGATCAAACCTTATTTGAGTGCAAGTACGTTAAAACTGGTAGCCTCCCTCTACTTCTAAATTTTGCACTGCCTAATAAAATATTTTTAGTAGATGCACTGGGAACATATAAGTACCTAGGGTAAGTATCGCAAAGCTGAAAAAAAATTGATAGTTTAACGGCGTTGAAAATGCAAAATGATAACACAATGAATATTATTTTACCTCATAATTAGTATTTAAATACGAAAGTGACCACTCTTCATTGGGAACACCTTGGCGCTGAAATTCACTTTGTACATTGAAAAAATTCCATCCTGCATGCTGAGGTAGTGTGTCTTTATTTTCTTGATAATTGAAGCAATATAAATCTTCTACACTAACTGTAGTAAAATTAAACCAATACAAAATTTTAATTTTTTATGTTAGGAATAATTATCTTAGAATTTATTCTGTGTTATATGTTATATAATGTACAAACATAGCGCTTTTTAAAAATATCTTAGAAGACGTTTATGTGCAAAATATGATACAAATGTAGTAGCTTGTTAACCTGGGCAGGATAATTTTAATAATGTGAGATAAATCTCGTGGCAATCGCGTTCCTTCGGGATGACAAATGTGACAATGAAGAAATGCTTGCATTTAATATACAATGGTGATCCTGTCGTCGTTAATGGCTGTTTTTCTATATTAGAAATATGTGTATATAAAACCTGTAATTTAATATTTTATTACTTTCAATACAAATCTAACAATAATTTCTATTAAATTAATATATGACTAATTTACCCATATCTTCTTTTTGCCGCTTCTTTCAACAAAGATGAGATGTGTCACTGTTAGGTAAAGTGTGCCGATGGAATGATTATTGCTATATTTGTCTAGCATTCTCACATTCTCTACCTGTAAAATATATATTTCTTTTTGAAGTCTAATGTTACAATATATATGCGAATAAAAATAAGACGTTTTTTTCAACATTGCGATTTATTTTTAGTATAAATTAATACAACAAAATGGAATCGATAAATAAATATGTCTAATATTTCTACCACTAGTCAATTCGTTACTAATTACAGTAACGATAAATATTGAATCAGTTGTTCATACCTTAGGAACCTTTATCTGCTCCATTTTCGAAGCCTTAAAAAAATTGCACACAATCAAACAACTTTTATTTAGGCAATTATAACGATTAACACATGCGTGTACGTATCACCCGAGTTTCATGATAGCGGTGGATTAAAAAATAATCATTTATTCTAAGCGTACGTGGACACTTGTTAGATATCTTAAGTTAATAGGTTACGTGTACTACTCCCATTCCCTTTGAAAGTGACACTGACAGATCAGTCAGAATTCACAGATGGTGACAGATTGCAATATGTGTGCAACAATGCCAACAGTCAATATATATATTCCGTGTAGGCGGAATACACAATTAAGATAAATATTTTTTTCAATGAGTTTCAGAACGCAGTGTGAAAAAAATATCACTAGAAAGAGAGAGAGAGAGAGAGAGACTACTATTTTCTTCTAAATTGTGTTTCAAAACTCATCAAAAGATGAGTTAATTCCACAGCGGATTGGACGCAAGACGATGTAAATAGCGTGAGCATTTCTTGCTAACGCATATTCCTTGCTCGGTCCAATGAGAGTTAAAAAAAACGTTAAAAAAAGAATCAGCTGTCAAACTTCGTGGAGCTCCGATTGATTCGGGTGAATTTATCATTACGTCTAATATTATGAAATAAAGTATGTAATATAATTTAAAAGGCGCTTACTATTGCTTGCTATTAAACTGGAGTTGACATGGATCAAGCTAACACGGAAGAGTTGATCTCGAAATTAATTTCCGGCACGTATGAAGAATTTTGTAAAAATATTGTTGTATTTCTAGAGATTGTAAGTATACATTTTGAAATACTTCTTTATTTATTAAGAAACGTAATATGTATTTTTCTTGTCACTCTATGAAGCTTGCAATTTTAGAAGAAATTTTATTTTATTGATTCATTAATCTTAATTTATTTTATTTTAATTTGTCACTTTTACAATTTTGTATCCTAAATTAATAAGCAAATCTGTCATCAAGTAATTTTTTAAATTCTAATTCATTTATTATAAGAGAGTTTATATATTGAAAAAACTCTCTTAGTCTATTTTCTCTTCTTTTTATACATTTTCCTAGAAACTATTTAAACGATTTACATGTATTATACAACTAATGTTTTAGTATGATAAAAAGACGAATTTTGAAGAGTTAAATAGTACTTATTTACGAGAGAAACTATGGAAGAGATTATTTTATTATCTAACAGATTACGTTCATGTAGACCAACATCATCATTGTTTAGCTGCTTTGAGGATACTTAGGTAATTTAATTATATTGGGTGGATCCATATATTCGTTCGGTTTTTGTTAGTAGTGCAAAAACGGAGAATCATATCATTGATTAAAATTCATTCTTTGTATGAAAAAAACTTGTTTCATTTTACCTTCAAAAACCGAACGAATATATGGATCCACCCAATATATATGTATCTCTGTAATAATTGTAAAAGTATATAATATTTCTCAATAATAAAAGATCAATAATAAAATCATTGAAAGTAATTAAATTTAATATAATTATACAAAATTATATTAAAGAATAAAAAATTGTTTATAATTTTTAGTTATATTTTATTTACTTAGTA